CGAAATCCTGAAACCCCTAAACCCTAAACCCTAAACCCTAACCCCTAAAACCCTGAACCCCTAAAACGCCCAACAACCCTAGAGCCATTAACCCCTAAATCTGAAACTAAGTTCCGAAACAAACCCAGAGCCAAGGCTAGAGCTTTGCGGCTCTCCGGTCACCTTTAACGACACGGACCCGGATGCCGCCGTAGAAATCAGGTCCGGGGTTTAGGGTTTTAGGGCTCCTTTAAAGGGATGATCTGAGGGTTGAGGGTTTAGGCATTCGAGTTCCTTTACAGGGATACGATATGAGTTTAGTTTAAGGTTTAGGGTTCCGCTAAAGGGGGCAAAGCTCATTGTTAGGAGTTTAGGGTTCGGCGTTGAGGGGTTCTGTTCCTCTGGCATGTTTAGGGTTTAGGGTTTAGGGGTTTAACGGTTTAGGGTTTAGGGTTGATATGGGATTGGAGGTAGTGCTAGTTCGCAAAAGTGTGTTTGCTAGGGTTCCGGTTTGTCATCACACTACAATATAACACAAAACCCAGTCACATCGTGAAGACCCTATGTGCTTGACCTGCCCACACCAAGGTCAGAATCGCCAAACTGAATCGCCGGAAACCCTCAAACTTTCGGCAGGCAGCCCGAAAACCCTAGAGCCCTAAACCCTAAACCTGTCTGGTATCCCGTATTGTGCCCTTACAGTACCCTGTGAAAGGAACCCTGAACCCACCTTAGCCGTCCTTGCAAAAAAAATCCATCTCCGCCCATGTGCTCCCCGAAGTTGGAGATGGTAAGGTTTCGGGATTTGGGGTTTGGGGTTTAGGGATTTGGGGTTTAGGGTTTAGGGATTTGGGGTTTAGGGATTTGGGGTTCAGGGTTTAGGGTTTAGGGATTTGGGGTTTAGGGATTTGGCGTTCAGGGATTTGGGGTTTAGGGATTTGGGGTTTAGGGATTCGGGGTTTAGGGATTTGGGGTTTAGGGATTTGGGAATTAGGGTTTAGGGTTTAGGGATTTGGAAGTTTAGGGATGTGGGTTTGGGGATTTGGGGGTTTAGGGATTTGGCGTTTAGGGTTTATGGTTTAGGGATTTGGGGTTTAGGGATTTGGGGTTGAGGGAATTGGGGTTTAGGGATTTGGGGGTTTAGGGGTTTAGGGATTTGGGGTTTAGGGTTTAGGGTTTAGGGATTTGTGGTTTTTAAATTTGGGGTTTAGGGTTTAGGGTTTAGGGAAAGCCCATGTCCACAGCAGCTGTCGCACGTGCAGAAGGCCCTTCGATAGCACAAAGAACCCCATGGTCAAAACTCCGGCCGCAGATGATTTGCTGAAGAGGCGGTGTGCTGGAGCAGCACAGTGTCGCCCGTGCTACAGCTTCATGGAGCGGGATACCCGCTTCCAGGACATGTCGCACAATCGCGGTTGACGTTTCTCGATGCCGACAGCAACTTCGAGCAATACATGGATGACCTGACCACATGGGAGACCGCCCGTCGTGATGGCACCATTCGTCTCGAAGCGTCGAAGGAACGCTGGAGATCGAGCTGACGCTTTGCAGAGTAGCTCCATCACCACGAAGCACGTCATGGGCTACTTTTGGCCGATTGCACTGTTGAAGGTACGCGACAAGCCCTTGCCCAAACGCTGCCAGCACATTACACATCAGGGACGGAAAATCAAGGCGTCACCCTCAAGGAGTTTGCCGTGGGCTGCATAGAGGTCTCAAGCGAGAGCTCGAAAACAGCTCGTCGGGTTCACATCATGGCCCACGACGTTCGGTGCAATGCAAAAAGTCACTGCAGATGTCTGCACCTACGTCGGAGTCTGGGGAGAAGGTTGATAGCGACGACGAGCTGGCCGCCATTTTGGGGTTTAGGGATTTGGGGTTTAGGGATTTGGGGTTTAGGGATGTTGGGTTTAGGGATTTGGGGTTTAGGGTTAAGGGTTTAAGGATTTGGGGTTTAGGGATTGGGGGTTTAGGGATTGGGGGTTTAGGGATTTGGGGTTTAGGGTTTAGGGTTTAGGGATTTGGGGTTTAGGGATTCGGGGTTTAGGGATTTGGGGTTTAGGGATTTGGGAATTAGGGTCTAGGGTTTAGGGATTTGGGGGTTTAGGGATGTGGGTTTGGGAATTTGGGGGTTTAGGGATGTGGGGTTTGGGGATTTGGGGTTTAGGGATTTGGGGTTTAGGGTTTCGGGTTTAGGGTTTAGGGTTTCTAGGATGTAGGGTTGAGGGTTTCGGGTTTCTAGGATCCACGGTAGGACCCTTTTGTGCTTTTGGTTTTTGAGCTCCCTTATCAAAGCCAAACAGTAAGGAAAAAGGGCACCCCTCATGATGAAGACCCTACTACTGGAGAACCCAGGATGTGAGCCACGTCCGCAGCCTGTCGGTTTCTAGGTGTTCCTGTCTTTAAACAGGGGTTGCACCACAATTTTGCCCTCAATCCTACTAAACCCTAAACCCTAAACCCTAAACCCTAAACCCCAAACCCCAAACCCTAAACCCTAAACCCTAAACCCTAAAACCGAAAACCTAAACCCTAAACCCTAAAACCCTAAAACCTAAAACCTAAACCTAAACTGCGGCTTCATCTACGGGTTCGAGGCCAGGTTTCCTTTTTTTTTCGGGCCCACGACCTTCACCCCTGGGACCCTGAGCCAAAATGGCTTAAATTGAAGCTAGCCCTCATCCCTCAAGCTCAGACCCCAAAGCCCCAGTCCTTAACCGCAGGCCCTAAACATGAGATCCTAGGGTTTAGGGTTTAGGGTATAGGGTTTAGGGTTTAGGGTTTAGGGTTTAGGGCTTAGGATTTAGCGTCTTAGGGCTTAGGGTCTTTGGCCTTTAGGGTCTCTGGGTGGCAGGGACATCGACCTGCCAGCGAAGCCGCCGCCCGTGTGGGGCTACTGGCTGGACGTGGCTTGTGCAAGGCTCCATCCGATCCGCCCGTGGGCCCAGGGTTTAGGGTTTAGGGTTCAGGGTTTAGGGTTTAGGGTATAGAAGCCTAAAGAATTACTTCTATTGTTCATGTGGGTTTATTCTAATTATAGTATAAGGGGCCCCCAAAACCCTATTCTATATTATCACCATTAGAAGTATTATCATCGGCATGTGGTCTTGCGAGCCTCTGAGTGTTCCTGGGCTGGTTCTTGGGTGTGTAAGGCTGGAACTGCTAAGTGCTGTTGTTGCGGCCTACGCTGGCATAACTAAACCCTCAACCCTAAACCGGGTTTGCACATTTGCAACCTTGAGCCCTGAAGCCTAAACCTGAACACGAAACCCCTTTTCGGCTCGGGAGGTGAGGGCTGGATTGCTGAACAGGTTTGTTCATTCAGTGGTGTTGTTTCTTCAATGGTTCCTGTGGAAGTTCGGTAGGATTTTCAGTACAGTATCTCACACCCCCAAATCCTAAACTCGACGCCCCAAACCTGAAACCATACCCAAGACCCCGAACCCCAAACCCTGAACCCCAAACCCTGAACCCCAAAGCCTGAACCCCAAACCCTGAACCCCAAACCCTGAACCCCAAACCCTGAACCCCAAATCCTAAACCCTAAACCCTAAACCCCAAACCCTACTGCAGAGAAAGCTCAGATAGTGTAGACTAAAAAAAAAGGGCCTTCAACAACAAAAACACCTAGTGCAGGGGGGGGGGGCGGGGTTGCAGGATGAGCCACTAGCTACTGAGAGGCACTCAACCGCAGAATTAGGGTTTAGGGTTTAATTAGGGTTTTGTGTTTAGGGTTTAGGGTTTTGTGTTTAGGGTTTAGGGTGTTGTGTTCAGGGTTTAGGGTTTTGTGTTCAGGGTTTAGGGTTTTGTGTTTAGGGTTTAGGGTTTTGTGTTAAGGGCTCAGGGTTTAGGAGTTCACGGTCTAGGATGAAGCTGCCAAGTCAGAGACAAGAGCGGTGCGGCCTCGTGCAGCTATAGGCTTTTGAGGGTTATAGGGCTTTGAACATATTTTTGCTTTATTGCTTTATTCAGGAAGTCCAACGACTCCATATCTAAAGAATAGTCTTTTATACGACTTCTCACGACGGGGTTATCCGAATTCAAGACCGGCTACGAAAAGGCAGTTGCCGAAAAGGTAGTTGCCTAGGTTTAGGATTTGACTTTTAATTGGGACGCCGACTATGGGGCCGTTAGTCACCGGGTATTGCACTTCTTTGGATACCCTGGCCTTGGGAGCCATGCAGTGGAGTCGCTTTAGGAGCCTTAAGAACTCGAAGAGGGGCTGGGTATGTCAGCGTCTTGTTATACCCTAAACCCTAAACCTTAAGCTCCTTTTCTGCGGAGTAAGGGGCCAGTTGCATTTATTAAACAACCCTTGGTGTTCTTCTGGTTGGCTCTTAGAACTTTAACTTTTTGGGTTTCTATATGAACTATAATAAGGAGGCTAGAAGTTAACTTTTTTGGAGGGGTTCAGAAGTCAGCCAAGAGCCCTAAGCAGCAAGCATCCAGAGTCCCCTAAACCCTAAACCCTAAACCCAAAACCCTAAACCCCTAAATCAGTCACCAGGTGGTCTCCTCATGACCAAAGCTGGGTCTTTGATGGCGTCGAAGTGAAACAGCCTGCGGCCAGGTTTGCATCCTTAGGCTCCCTTTGAGTTTTGGGGTAAGGGGTTTAGGGTTTAGGG